CTCTTTCCCATCACATTCCCAGTCATAGTCTTACTCTTTATTAGACAGCATCTCCTAGAGAGAAATAAGGATAAGCTTTCAAGGAAAAAAACAAATACCCAAACATATTTAGTTACTAATGAAAAAGTGAATAATCAAATGATATTTACCAGGCCATGATTATCACATGTAACATGAATGGGGTAGTCATGTATACAAATACTAGAAAAGTTTTATGAGCTCTTTTTTCAAGGGACTTATTTTCAGTACTAGTCTTTTAAGTCCTAATGATCATTTGTAACTTGAAATGTTGTATCAGGGTCTTGAACCAGTACAGAACAGTACTATTTTAAATATGCTTAAAAGATGTTTCAATGTCTATATTATAAATGCACTTTATACTTTAAAATGGTATCTTGTTCAAAGTATTGTAAAAGTAAAAAGATTAACAGCTTTTAGAATCATAACTACACAAGATCAATGTGGTAATATTTTGTTTATTGAATCATTATTCACATTTGCTAATATTTAATGAGAACTGCATTGTTCTACACGGTTTTGCGAATATACGGTTATAAATATTTAAAATAACTTTTATTGAGTACTAGGATGTCAAAATAACATGTATTCATTTGCTTGTTTTTTGTTTTACTCCAATACCTGCTTCTTCTCTTACCTCAGCCTCTTTTCACATCTTTAAATATAGTGGTTTCAAAGGCTCAGAACTTGGGCCTCCATACTTCTTTCTCAATTCTCTTTTCCTAATAAATTGCATGGTCTTCCAAAATTTAACCATAGTTTTCATAATATCTGACAAATATTCATCTGTAGCTGTGAACTCGCTTTCAAATTCCAATCTAGATTCTCCAATAGCCAGCTGATTTCTCACTTGAAGTTCAACATGTCTAGAAATTAGCTCATGATCGTTTCACCGAACTGCTTGCAACACCAATGTCTCATGTTCTGTTAATATATGACCATTCTTCTCAGTCACTCAGGCTTAGAACACAAGTCATGTTATTTTTCAACAGTTCACCCTAATATCTAATAAATATCAAATAACTGTCAATTGATTCATCATGATCCACTTGCTTTCTGTTTCCAGAGATACCATCTTTCCTATAACCCTCACACAGGAGCTAAGGCAATAACGTCCTTACAGGGCTATAATCTCCTTCCTACCTCACCCTTTATATCCTGTGCACTGGAATCAGGTCAATATATTCCCCAAACATGGATTTCATTATGCTATTTCTCTAATTAAAAAGTACAAGTAGAATAAAGTCCAAACTCCAGCATGAAAGTCAAGGTTTCCCCTAATCTTGCCCCAAGGACCTTTCTAGTCTTTTATGAGCACTCCTAATATTGACCTTTCTTGCAGGTCTGTTAGTGAGTTCCTGTTATCCCTCCCTCAAAGACCTTAGGACGTTTCTAATCTTCTAGTGTACAGCCTAAACTACTAAATGAGAATACATCGATTAGATCTGAGTTCCATCGTTTACTAGCTGAGGGACCCAGGACAAGTTATTTGTCCTCTTTGAGCCTCAGTTTCTTTATTTGTAACATAAGAATAAGAAAGATATTTACCTCATAGGGTTGTTACAAGGATCAAATATGTTAGAATGCTGTCTGATATATCATAAATGCTCAATAAATATTGGCTTTTATTGTTTCCTCTCAAAATCTGACCCATTCTTTGGCTTAGTTCAAGACTTTCCTCTTTTGAAAACACAGTTGGTAAAGGATGAAATAAATGTTTGTTGACATGGTGTTATTATTTTACTGAGGTATTTGACAAGCTCACGAAATTCTAACAGCGAACACAGAGAAATTGAGAATAGTTTGGTAAAGTCATATCAAAAGTCATATTCTGAACAATGCAGATTGTTGATTAATTAATCTGTATCAATGTAGATGGTGATCTCAAGAAAGGTGCCAAAGGGCTTTGTATTTGTTATGCCCTGTGTAGTATTTTCATCAGAAATTATTTGGAGACACAAAATGCATGCAAAACGCACATACACGCACACACACATACACACACACACACACAGAGGAATGAGTTCCATGACTACCCCATAAAAATGAGGAGTTTGCCTGTCTTTTTCAATCTAGAGTCATTCCAGGTACATGTTTTGTACTCATTAATGAATATTTTTTTAATTAAATATAAATGGTATACAATGTTACATTAATTATATTAGCTTCAAGTGTACAATATAGTGATTTCTTGAAAAAGTAAGTGAATAAAAATAAACATTTCAAGGAGCTCCTGAATAATCTGGAATTTGAAATAACATAATTTCTATAGTATAAAATTGAAAAATTACATCATAAGGATGTATATTGATTTCTGGCCAAATGCTAGCCATATAATACCAGCAGGTACAAAAATAATGTAAGCAGATATGAACAGACTTTAGGAAACACTATTACAAAATGAATGATTATTCAAGCAAGATAATGCAAACTTAGATTTCATTAGTAGTATGTGTAGAGTCCAGAATTCCTCATCAAAGACTACTCTGCATTGTTAAAAAGGTCACTATACAGATTAGGAATTTGAATTATTCTGTGGGGCTCCAAAGTGAACAACCAGAATTAATGAATAAAAATTATTTGGAACCTGAGTTTTCATTAAATATTGGAACAATTAATTAGTGCAACAAATGTTATTTTTCTTTTTAAAAGCATTAATTTTAAAGTAGTGAGTTTCTCACTACTGAAAGTATGCATGCAGAGGCAGAATGATGATGTATTAGGATACATGTTAGAAGTGAGACACTTTTCACTTGAACACTCCCCTAAAATTTTATGGACTTTCTGTTAATTCTCTCTTCTGAATTCAAAGGGTTTTGTTTATTATAGTAGTGAAGCTAAATAGAAATATGTCATATATGTAATTTTAAGTGTTCTATTTGCTATATTAAAAAATAAAAAATATGAAATTATATCTTACTTATATACGATACATCTTACTTATAAAATGTCCAAATATCATATAAAACTATAACCAATATAAAATTATTAATAAAATATTTTACATTTACTTTTTCATATTAACACTTTAAAACCCAATGTGTGTTTTATACTTACAGCACATCTTAATTGGAGTAGCCATATTTTAAATACCCAATAGCCATATGTGGTTCTTGGCTACCTTATTAGACAGTATAAATCAACAGTAACTATTATAACCATGAAATTGAAAAGAACCAATAGCTCATTATTAGTTTGAAATATGTCATAGGAGTAATGTCTTACTAACAATAGTCAAAATGCTGATGTTTTATTTAGTAAATTCTAGTGGATTTAAATAATTCTTCTAATGTCCATCTCATTCACTTGCATTCAGATTATTTTATGAGAGCAATTTTCAGAAAGCAGTCTGGGGACACAAAAACTCATCGGAATGAATTAGATATATCAGAAGTTTATTCTTCATTTATGTGTAATCCTAGGTTGTGTTGCAGTATCTCTACATATTTGAATATAATGTTATTTGACTTTCACGGGTTTATGCTTTGTTGCACCAGTAATTTTTAATCCTTGAAGTTGGAAATATATCTTATAATACTCTGCATTTTCAATAGCAAATGTAACTCTTTTCTTTTGTACAAAAAAGGTGCTTATTACATCAATTACTAGTTTTAGAACATCTAATATGCTAATTGAATTAACTGGTGACTAATTTTTAACCAAAAATAACTGTAACTACTCAATCCAATTATTTTGGCTATGCTACTGGCCTATCATGCAAGCCATTTGACATCCACATGAGTTGGGAAAATTTAATGCCTTCCTTAAGAGTCACGAGTTCACCATTATTAGGTCATGACAGAAGGCATTTTATTAACCAATTACATTTTACAGGTCATTCCTTGGTCTTCATCGTCTTTCTAATC